CCTCCCTTTGATAAACACTACTTGTATTTTATTGTATTTTTCATTTGTTTTCCTTTCTGCACTTACTTGTCTATTCTTCTAAAGCCTTTTATACCACTTTATCAGTTAATTTTTTCTGTAGTTTTTTTTTTTTTTTTTTGTCTTTAGAGTTTTTTGGGAAGATCTACCCTTTAAATTGTAAAAAAAAAAAAAAAAAAAAAAAACCAAAACCAAAAAAACACCACAAACAAACCAAATATACTAACTATCACAAAACCCTTAAAATTAAATGGGAGAATTTTCTTCTCATTGTATCAGAAGAAAAAGATTTGATGCTTTCATGTCCAGTAAACTCTCAAAAAAAAACCAAAAAAAACCACTGACCAGCCAAATACCCAGCTTCTTTATTTTAAATTTAACCTATACATTTAAAATATCAAATTCTACTTCATCTACACATGTGAATGTAACTGAATGCCTATTTAGTTTAATGAGTATAATAAGGATCTGAGGAAATCAGAAAAATTTGGTACCCTAGCCAAGAAATTGAAAGAGTTCATTATACTAAAGAAATCTCTCTCGCTCTTTTGAAATTACATGGAAGTCTTCTAAATTTGAAAGAGAGAAAGAACAAAATCACATACTTTACACTAAGTACTGTAGACTTCATTCAGTGAAAAACATCCCTGTGCCATTTTCTGACTGAGGATTTCACAGCTACAGACATCCCTTTAAACAAGCTATTCAGCAGTCCTGAAGTTAACAAACCAGACAGGAAAGTGCCTTTGTTTTCACTGAATTTCTTTGTATTTGTGATCTGCAGAAACATCTTTTGGCAGCCAAGCTACTTGCAGATTACAGAAAGACAACACTGCTGCTGGTTGGGAGTCTCTGCATTGGGGTGGAGTTGGTGTGCTGATATTGGCAAATTGCCACTGCACGGGCCACTGCCAAACAGTGTTTTGTGGAGCAGTTTGAGCCTCACCACTAGAAGATGCACCCTCAGCTACATCATAAAGCTACTCTTCATACCCAGACACACTGTTGGAGATGCTCAGAGGCAGGAGAACGAAAAAGCTGAGGTGACATGCTTGAGGACAGCCTTTCCTTAGAAAACTCTCTGTCTGTGTGGTGTTTCTCTGCCTAGAAAACAACACAGGGTTCAAGAGGGGACATAATATGATTGGTAATGGTGACAAAATTTTAGAACTTCTGGACACCATCTCTGTGTTTTATCTTCAGATAAAACACAGAGAACCTGAATTTCATTTTCTCCTCTTACTGCAGCTACAGTATTTGATGCTGGAATGTTGGACAGTAGGATCACTGTGCTGCTTCTCAAAGGATGGTGCTGCAGCCACACATCCCCTGGAGCGTGTCCAAGGTCTGAAATCCCATTGTCATGAGCAGGACACATACTGTATGCCTCACTCAGGCTTGGAACCTTCTTTGTCATATTCTATCTGATCACTGAGAGACACTTAGTAAGATCAAGTATGTTAATAGTTACTGATACTAAAATTTCACAGAACTTTAATTTTCTCCAGTATAAAAGATCCAAACTGCACATACACTAGTCACAATCTTTCTTTCCCGGAAACCCTTTCTAAAATCTATTTCCAAGGCTTGATGGAATCTTTCCTTAAATACTTGGACTGCAGGAAAAAAAAACAAACCCAAACAACCAACCTAACAAAATGCAGGATGACAGTAGAGTGCCTTTGGGAGAGTTAGGAATATCTGATGAAGACCTAGTGTCTTTGAAAAGTGTGAACACCTAGGAGGAGCACTCCTTTGGCAATGAGACTTAGTACAGCATTCCACATAAACTCTCTGTGGTCTGGAAAGCAGGGCTCAAAACACACAAAACAGCTTGAGCAGCTCAAGAGACAGACAGGCTTGCAAGAGGCACGTTGTTCAGGATGGCTTGTATACATGCTTTGAGGGAAACCCTTCAAAACTTTTCATGCAGTTTAGGTATTTCTGGCAACTCTATATTATGCATTGTGTGAGCAATAATTGTTAGATAATTGAACAAAAGACAACTCCTTTTAAACAATGAAAGCAACGGATCTGGAGACTTTATACACAAAACATGAAGAAGATTTGTGAGTAAAATACAAATTTTCAAAGCATCTTGAACTCCATCAACAATTTAAATAAGACTTGAGCTCAAAGAGGATTGGTGTCATTACTTCAGTATGGAAACTCTAAATCAGCCATTTACTGCCAGCACTGTATTAGAGGATTCCAAACAGACAGATGGCCAGGCAGCAAGTAATTGTTACTTACGGCTCGACTGGCATGTACCTTTCCTCAGCAGGAAGACTCTTCCAACAACTGGAACTGAGGAAAAGCTTTTGTGTCCTGAATGTGTTGTGAGAACAGAGAACTTGCTGTACTTTGGCACTGCCTGCCGCTGTATCCATTGCCCATCACTGAACTTTCTATTTCCGTTTTTACTGCCCTCTGAGGAACACCCAGGCTCAGCTGATCAAAAATACTATTTATTTCACTCAAAATGCATTTCCTTCTCTACCACCTCTATTGTGATGAATTTCTGTGCATCCTCTCTGGGCTCCATTCTCTCTGTGTGTTCGCAGTCCTGTGCCTCGTGGATACCTCCATAAAATTTTTCCTTTTAATTTGACAGTCCCTTCTTTAAAATGTCATCAAATCAACTCTGCCTAAATGTATATGACTCCTTTGTTCTTTCATAAACCTATCTGTTCTTTGCTGATTAAGAGTATCAGTCTCATTTGTATTTACCCCTATATATCAACAGCTGTTCTAGTTTCATTCTTGTTCTTTATTTCCCTTCTACATCCGCTGTAACAGAGCACTGAACTGTGATAGGTTTAGGTGAAAAGAACTTGAACCATAATTTCTGGACTTTATCCATCAAGAATTTGTTTTCTTCTTAGGGAAAAAGGAGCACTTAGCTATATATAAACAAAAATATTAGTATTTGATGCATCTCCTTCATCTACTGTCTCTTTCATGTCAAAGAGTCACTGGGAACTGCAATGGAGGAAAGGGTTGAGAAATAACTGATGATATTTCTTTTTACCTAAAAATGTTGTTTAATTGAAAATAAAACATCACAAAAATCTTTGTACAATCTTCTGATAGAACAGATGTAAGTTTCAAAATTTCTTTGCTAGTTCTAGCGTATGTGGACTATTAATATTTGAGATATTAGTTTCTGTCATTCCACAGAAGGAATAATGATGACAGTTCCCAAGACTGTTTCTACACTGAACGTTAACAGTAATTTGTTAATTGGTTTCCCAGGCTACTCAGCTTCAACAGCCTAATGAATTATTTGCTGGAAGAATTAAACACTGGGGTTTGGTGTCTGGCAACTCTTGCGTCCTCAGCTGCTGGGGCAGCCCAGCTGGGGCACAGCCTGCCTGGTGGCTGCTCTGCACAGGGACTGCCCTGGGGTTTATTGCTGATGAACCTGATGAGCCTTGGCACGTATTAATTCCACTCATGAGAACGACTGCTCTCTTAGCGGGATGCCAGTCATCACAAAGAGCAAGAAAGAACTTCTAAAGAGAGAAGACTGGAAGGATTTTCCAAAGACTTGCAGTAATGATAAAACATCAGCCGCTCGTGAATGATAAAAGCAATGGTTTTGAGATTGTTATTTTGGAAAGACTTATAGCTCTTAGAGAAATTGTGAGGAGCAGATCCAGACTGCCTGTGTCAACCAAGAGCCTGAAGAGGAATCTCAGACACTGGTCTCAGGAAACAGAGGGGCTGCACTGTGCAATTCTCCGTGTCCAGGAGTTTTGACCTGAGAGCTTGCCTGGGAATCTCAGAGCTAATGGCATAACCAGTCTCCTCTGCAAACCAGCTGTGTCAGTAGATGCAATCTGGCCTTTCAGTCCACCTATCACATACAGATCAAAGTCAATCCAAAGAGGTACTATTTTCTGCAACAATGAGAATATTTTCATTACCTGACAATATACCATGCTACAACTTTTTCTTTCTACATGAATGTTTCCCTCTGCTCTCAACATGCAGGTTATAATACTGTTTATTGGTTTGTCATATTTCTTTTTTATTACACCAAAGATGTTATAATCAGGTATTTCTTCTTAATATATGAAAATAATTTTTGCATACACATCAAAAAATTAAAATTCTCTTTAGCTTTTCTCATAGAAGTGTCCTTGCTTTGCTTGTAGCTGTTTTTTTGAGGGGCTATTTAGGAGAGTTTTATGCTGCCTCCTCAATGCCTTTTAGTACATAATACTTACATTACAACACATATTAAATCAATGGAAAGGCAACCGTAATATATTCCCTTTTTCAGCTAAAAGCCAATTTATAAATGCTTCTTTTTCTGTAACACAAGGGACGTGCTAACATGTCATTTAAATGTGTACTTTGTATGCCTCGTGAGGCAAAACCCGGATCCATGCCTGGTGTTAACTGCCAGGGAATGTCATGGAGTTGCTTTAAACTCTTGTTTCTCTATTGAGAACTCGGAAAAAGAAGAGTTGTGGAGAAGAAATTTTTAGTAATACAGCTGTTGCTCTACACAGTGGTGAAACGCACCCTGCCAGGGATCACTTCACTCACCACTCAATGTTTTTCGTGCGTGCCTGGTTTGAGGGGTCTGTGTTCGATGATCTTACTGCTTTCCCCGGCAAAAGGCATCCCGGAGCGGGCACCGATGCGCTGCCGGGATGGGCACCCAGGCTGCCTGGGCGTGTATCACGGGAAGAGGGGGTTCTCCGGCACCTGGGAGCGGGCAGCGAGGGGTATGAGCATCCAATGCCCGGCAGCAGCCCGGGGGTGGCGGTGGCACCTGCGGGGCGCAGCGATGGGCGGGGGGCGTCCCGGCTCAGGGCAGCGACTCGCACCTCTTATGGGGGGAGCGCCGGCGGCAGCGAGAGGGAGGAGGAGAAAAGGAAGGCGAGGAGAGGGGCTGGGGAGACACGGGCGGGCGGGCAGGAGCCGGGGGCTAGAGGAGGAGCTCCGCGCAGAGCGGCGGCGGGCACGGCCGCGGTCGGGCCGGGAGCTGCGGCGCCGGAGCGGGGCAGGTGCGGGAGCAGGCAGGGGAGCCGGCAGCGGCCCCGGGCCCTATGGTGCCGGGCGGGACCCGGACCCCGCTCCCCGCCTTCCAACGGGGCCCGCGGAGCGCCTTCGGACGGGCACTGGGCGGGCATGAGGACGCTGCCGATCCTCCTGCTCTCGCTCTGCTGGAGCCTGCCCCGGGTAAGTCTCGGGCGCGCCGCCCGCCCGAGGGAGCGCTCGCTGCGCTCCGGACCGCGGGCCGGGCTGACCGCACGGCGCTTACCGGAGGAGCCTGAGCGGAGCCCCCCGGGCTGTTCCGCAGCCCCGCGGGGCGGGGGCTCGGCGCGGCAGGTGCGGAGGCCCCGCCGCACACGCTCCGGGACGGCGCTGCCTCCCGCCGCTGTCCCCGGGCGGGGAAGGCGAGCGGAGCGGGCGCGCAGCTCCCCCGGCGCTCCCTGCCGCATCCCCGGCAGCTCCGCTCCGCCGGGCACAGTCCCATCCCCGCGGAACCGCCGCTTGAGCCCCGCAGTTTCCCCCGAGGCCGGTGGACACCGCTGGTTTGCGAAGAGTTTTCACCGAGCGCTGCCCGGGAGCGGTCCAGAAGCCACTGGCCGTCGTTGTGGGGGGAAAAGCCTCACATCTACAACTGCCCTGCAATATGTACAATGGGATTGCGATGTACAAAGTAATCAGACTATTGAAGTCTTCTTTAGGGAGCCTGCTTTTATCATCTGTATATTTTCAAGCGTTTCTTAAGTAGTTTCTTAAGTAAAAGTCAGTTATATTGATGGAAATATCGATACACACAAAAAAAAAATTTTAAAGCCTTTTAAATTTTTTGTTACTGTGTAACACTAAAAGTCGGGAAACCATACTGAAGGTGAGTGCAAGCTGCTTGTCAGAAGAAATGTTTATTCATCAAATTGCTGGTCTAAATGCTTTAGAAATTATTGAGCTGCTTAAAATGCAGAGATACTCCTGAGTTGGATTTCCAGCTCGGTGTGTGCCTTTACATGCGGTTTGTATTCATTGATGATGAAGGATAACCCACCGTTGGTTAAGCAGAGGGAAACATGCATCAGCACAAGTCCTAAAAAGTGTTGAGTGCCCTCAAAATCTTGATGTGTTTCGGGAGATGGTCAGAGCCACAAAGTCTGGAACCCTAAATCTCTTTAGTTGTGAAGTCCGTCTGAATGTACTGGATGCATTAGGACATTGTACAGTACAGTTTAGCATGTAGCCCACCTGTGAAAAGTAATATGCCACCTTTGGGAAATAACAGATTTTTAACAAAACTTTACTATTAATCACTGATATTTCAGAGGTACCAGAAAGTGAAGTTGTTTATTCAGCAGGCTTCTTAATTGCAGTGGCTAGTTTGATTTATCCTTCATTTATTTAACTTCTTTATTAACTGAACCTTCCTTTCCAACACCCAGTAATTGTAATAGTTCTCGGTGAGTAGGAAAACCACTGTCAAGTTATGGAATGTTAGCACTTGGAAATGAAAAGTAGCCAAAAATAAGTTTTTTGAAAGGAAAGTGCTATTAAAAAATATTATGTATACATGGGACTTTTATTTTACATGGCCGCTATCTGCGAAAAAAGATTATACATACCAAAATGTAGGAATTTTCAGTGTAATGCTGAACTTTGAATTACAAATTCTAGAAATCCTAATAGATGTTAAATATGTGCCTCTGAAAGGAAAAGAATTCTGCACTTGAAACATGTGCTATACTCAACTTAGAGAAAAGACATGGGAAAGGAAGTCAGGTTCTGATGTTGTGAAATGAGATATTTGGAGAAGAGAGAGATTTTTGTGAGTTTTCATAACAGCCTCTGCTGTTATGCTTATGGCTCTTGCGCTGTATTTTTAAAAGCTGTGCAAGTGGTTGTCCACAAAGAGACTGCAGCATCATCAGGTTCTCAGTCCTAACTCTAGATCCGAGGTTCTGGGCCCAGAATCACAACTTAATTAATTATTAACATTTTTTAAAAATTGCTGTGTCATGCATCAGAGATCATTACCAGATTGTGTTATTCAACGTCTCCTAAAAATGTGAAAGAAAAGACAGAATCTTGGAGAGAGACCACCTTTTTCTTGGTAACTACAAGTGTGAGGTGTAAGGATGACTGAAGTACTCATTTTATTGTATTAAGATGTGATTTCATTTGAGCTAATCAAACTGTCCCATCAGCACCACTGATGTTTCCAGCTTTTCCATTTGCCACCTCCTGCAGTAATTTCTCCCATGCAGTCTCTTTCAGACTCCATGTGTTTCTCTGTGAGGCTCTGACTGCCTCTCTGAATTGAGCTGACCCCAGTACAACTTTCCAGGGTCTCGTTTCTCTCTCCAGTACTGCTGCATTCCTCTCTTCCTGTGGACATACATAAACTTTTCTGAAAACCTAAGAACTGAGGGTAGGGCTTTGAACCAGTAAAGGCATTAGTGCTTTAATTTTTACATAGTGGGGTTTTCTTCTTGTGTAGCATTTGCTTGAATGAAATAATCATGGTCTGGGGCCTTCAGGAGATAAAATATGGTGGAAAAGGGAAGGAAAGCAGAATTTACCATGTCAAAGAGAATGAAATTTGATAAATTTTCATGTTCTGTGATTTGTACTAAACCTTCAGCTCCCTAACTTACTCCAAAAGGGGAAAAGAGCAAATGAATCTACTCTCCTTTTTCAGTTTCAGCTCAGAGTTTTTCTGGAGAAAAATATCTGGTGGCACAATATTGACGAATGCACTAGAAAGCTGAATGAATGCTACAGGAAGAAGCCAGTAGAGTATTTCAACATTTTGCTCTGAAAAGTCAATGTGTGAGAAGCTAAAATGGGCATTGAGTGTGTCTAGCATGTGCTTGGGCGAAACCTGTGCCAGTTAAAGTTGTGGCTTTCATTGCTGGTAGCTGCATTCTTCATTTTCATTCTAGTTTCAAGACATTTGTTAATTTGTTAATTCGACACAGGTGAATGGTGTCCATCCAGAATGCAGATTTCAGCTGGAGATTCACAAGGAGGAAACCAGGTGCATGGAACTTCTAAAGAATGCAAAGCCAATGGACTACAAGGGTAAGAAAACTGTAATGTAAAGATAACTGGAGTATTGAAGATTTTCTCTCTTTACCTTCTTTACTGTTGTGATTGCAGTTCCTGTAGTTGTCTGAGCTGTGCTTGGGATTTGACAGTTTTTAGAATTTATGGAATTTTGCATTAAATGCACTGCTGCAGCAAACGTGGTAAGAGCTGTGCAGGTGCTAAGAATGCCCTGGCTGGGACACCAGCTGGGAGCAAGCACCTTCTCCTGTGCTGAGATGTTGTTGTGGCATTTTCTGACTGGCAGAGCAGCTGTGATGACAGGACCAGCAGGAAGAGAAAATCTGAGGGAAAGCTGAAAGCCTTGGGTCCAAGCACCTCTCCCTAGCTGTGGCTGAAAGTGCTAGTGGCAGGAAGGATCTCTGGGTTTCCCAAGTGGACAATGTTTCAGACTGAAGGCCAGATTCACACCTAGAGGACCATGGAGTCGTGCAAAGGGAAAACCAGACAGCTGTGTTATGTCCAAAACCCCAGCTCTCTCTGTTACTTTATCGTTTTCATTTTCTTTCTGCATAGAGAGATAAATATATAGCTAGTGATAGAGCAAACTGAAATTTAGTGGAAGGAAGAAGAATAGTAGATGTAGGGTTTGGTTAGGTTTTTGGGCTTGGGGTTTGTTTGGTTTGGGTGTTTTGTTGGGGTGGGTTTTTTTGGTTTTTTTTTAGATTTTATTAGATTTCCTTTCTATGTTCTCATGGGAGGAGAAAAAACATTTATGGAAAAATAACATTTTTCTTGTAAGTTGAAGCTGCTGGTAAAGCCATTTGTTCAGCAAGCGGAATAAAAAGGTGACAGATAAATTTAGATTGTCAATACATGATTTATTTGGGCTTTTTGTGTTCATTTTGTTTTGAATACACTCTGACAATGACTATGGGACCTCAGAGACCTGCCATCTGCAGTGCTCTTTGAGCATAAACATGAGTCTCAACTTATGATGCTTTTTCCACCTCTCCTCAATTTAAATGTGTAACTCTCTTAATGCATATTCTAATACTAATTTGTATAAAAAAATTCAAAGGATCATCAACAGTTTATATTTTATTATAATTTCTCCATTTTATTAATCAAGATCAGTAATTTAAAAAATGCAAAAACTTACTGGAACAATTAATCTAGATTTAAGGTTTTATTTATATATGAGTGGTGAAGAAAGATGGCTGTTACATAAATAATACTAGTGCGAAGCCAGATGGAGAAATAATTAGTAGGCCAGCTTAATGAATTAAATCATGAGCCAATAAATTCCCTGCTAGCTGTTATATGGCTTTGAAAGTCAAGCTTTCCTCAAGATACACTTTTGTGATCCAGATGCTGCACTGCTCCAAGGGTATCTTTGTGATGCACACCAGTTTTATTTTGGGTTCCCTAGGGGAAGAAAGAAGTTTGCTGCCAGTATTTTCTTCCCAGCCTCTTTTCACTGGGAAATGGGTGCCTTCTGAAGGCAAACTGCTGTGAAAGAAGACTCGTGTCTTCTTTCTTGGAGGGACACAGGATGTCTGATGGTGTTGATTCCACCCTGCAGACAGTGGCAGAACAGCAGTGAAAGGATTTAGTTATTTTTTTAAATGCCCATCTGAAACTAAAGGAATATTCCATTTTGTTGGAGACTGGAATAAAGCCCCAGCTTTATGAAAACTGCATGTTTAATACTACAGGAGAATTTGTTCTATGCTTTCTGTTACAGATACCCTCACCAAGAACCTCCAGAGAGTAGCCTATGTTAAATATATGCATTTACATTTACAAAAATAGACATTATCTTTGTGTTCTTATTTTCCTAGTAAGCTCTCTGTAATCATACAAAGAAGTAAGGACTCTTTTGAACAGTAATACTCTGACTGCTGATAAAGTAGAATTACTAAAGAAAATTGACAAGCTGGAACTAGTCCAAATTGTAGCTCCACATGTAACTTGTAACACATTTGAAACGTAATTCTTTACAATAAATTCCCGAATGCTATTTCACTTTTTCCTGATTGGGAAAGGTGGTTATCCAACCCTTCCCATACTTCTCTAGCTTTAGTATGTGCTACCTGACTTACAAAAGCTGTTAATAAAAATCTTATGAAGGAACTGTCTTGATCTTGAAAATAAGGGTTCCCTGAGATTTTCCACAGAAGGCTTGGACCTCCATTATCAAAACCAGTGGGAATCTTTTCATTAATTTACTGGGCACCTGGGAAACCTTTGCACCTCTATGTCACATGGTCCAGAATTTGGCTGGCATGCACAGCTTCTGAATTCTGGAGGATCCAAATTGTGCGGGACAAGTAGTTTCTTCTTTCAACTAGATGACAATTATGTATTAAATTTCTTATCTTCCCAGCTCCCAGTTAGGGAGGTAAAAAGGAAACATTTAAAGGCTATTCGGGTTTCTTTGACATGATAAAATGATTTTACGCCTGAGCTGTCTCAAGACATGGGCTGAAGAATTTTGCTGAGTAATTTTTGCATGGTACCTAAAATCACTGACTATGAAGTATATGAAGTACTTGTTTACTTCATGGCTTAGTAAAACAGTAGCATGTTTTGCAAATAAACATTGTTTAAAGACAGTTTAAACATCCTTTGACCAAGGCTAAGGTACCCAGTTGGTGTAAGTTCTGCTCATTTGCCAGTGCCAGACTGTGAGACACCCGAACCTCTTGCTTTGCACCCTTTGGGGGATTTTCGGGCATTAGCACATACTTTTCCATTAGTGGACAGCATTATACTCCATTTAGGGGAGAAGTCACTCTCCAAAGACCTGTGGCAGTGCTTTCCTCCCTGTGGTGCTCATTAGAACATCTGGTTGTTTATTTTATGGAGACTGCATTAGCTTCTATCCACATTTGTTGTCTTCTTTCCTCCTATAATTTGGCCCCTGAGATATGAATGCACCCTAGCTGGAAGCCTAGGAGAGGTTCTTCTATCTTTGGGCAGATTTCTATATTTTTGAAGGACAGATGAATTGAGTTCTAACTAGCTCATAATAGCTACAGATTTTGAGATCTATATGGAAAAAGAACTGATTTGTTTTTTATCTGCTACCAATGGCTTGTTTTCTAACAAAAAACCAAAAAACCAAAAAAACAAAAAAAAAAAAAAAAAAAAAAAGGAAGTTCCCAAGAAAAGTGATTGAAAATACAAAAAATTACCTACCTTTATTGAGTTTTAAAAATTCTTCCTTATAAAGAAACTGGCTCATTTTTCTTCACCTTCAAGTGAAAAAATGAAATCTTATGGTCAAAAATGTTAAAACTCAGGAGCTTTTAAGAGGGTTCTACAACTAAAAGTTCTAAAAAAGATTTCATCATGAAAAGAATGAAGTTTAGGGAATTTTGATTCATCTTGAACTGAGTGGCTGCACGGTTAAGTGTGTCTTTTTGGATTTTGATTTCTGAAATATGTTCTTCTGAGACCCACATGTCAGACAACATTTTTAATTTTAGATATGGCTTTTTAACTGAGAAAGGGATGTAGACAAAAAGAAAAATGGCTTTGGAAAGAATTTCATAAATCTCTCAAAGAGAAACTCCATAATGCAGCTTGTCATAGGAAATTAAAAGAGACAAGACACCAAAATGATGCTCTTAGTTATCTTGAGTTTAAAGCAAGAGGGAGCAATATTGCTGTTTAACCCAATCTCCTGAATTGCACTGTCAATAGAATTTTCCTCAGTGATTCCAGCACTGAGCTCCTGATCTCAGGGATGGAACAGAGCTGTTGAGAACAGTGGGATGAACATTCAAATGTCAGACCCATGGCACGTTGCGCAGAAGATAAATTTATCTGACTGTTTAGCTTACCTGTTAAGGTTGTTTTTCCAGGAAGAAAGGTGCATATTTTGCATTTGCACACATCCCCACACCTTTGTGTGTAATACACACATCTCTCTCTACAGCTACACCAATGTGATCACTCCATCCTCCACGTTAGCAAATAGGAGACTGACATAAAGCCAGAGGAGGCCTTTCTTTTGCTACATGAAAAGGAATCTCCTCAAGGTTCCCCCTTTATTATGCTCCCTCTCTCATCAAGGTCTTGCATCAGGTTTTGTTTAGATTTGAAGCTGTTTTCTCTGTAAAATGAGTCAGTACTTCAGACTGCAGTGGTGCTGGCAGTCCTCTGAGCTAGCATTCAAAGCAGAATTAAGTGAGATGGTGGGGTCATGGAACTTCTTTCATGCAGCACCAGCAACTCTTGGAAGCACAACTTTAGCCGTCTTAAATCTCTGTGCTGCTGCTTTTCCAGGTGTAGTACAGATATCATACTACTTTTTACTTCACACTTTTTTTTTTTTTTTTTTTTAATGAAGGACAATAAAGGGGCAGCTTTGGATATTTTTATGTTTTGGCTTTCACTGATTGAAGTGTCATCATTAATGGCACCACATAAAACTGACCCTTACGGTATTGACAATGTCTGGTCTTTGTGGAAGCTGTACTTAAATATTTGAGGGCAGAAGAGCAGCAGAGCTCTGTCTTTTAAGGAGGCTGGGTGAGAAAGGTGAGAAAGAACCTTGAATGAAATGAATTGCCTACTGGAAAGTAACTAACTGTAAATAAAATGGCGAAGACCAAGAAAACATCCTGATTAGCCTCATTCAAAAATCTCACATAGTAAAATTTACTAAGAGTGACAATAACAAACCCTTTCAGACAGAAGAGAAGTACCAGGTGCCCAAAATTTCTTTGAAGACATGAAATTTCTGCTCTACCCAAAATGTAAATAGAAATTTAGTAGTAGACATTAATATATGGCATTTGTAACCCTGAAGAAGGAAAATGCACATCCATAAGTGAATTTGTTGTGTTTTCCAGAAGATTCTGAAGGAAATACTGCCCAGAGTAGTCTTGCACTTGAATCCTGATAAAGACAGCTGTGGCCATGGCAGTCTCTTCTCCATGACATCCAAAGCTGAAATACCACAAGGAAGGAATTTTGGGTACCAAAACACTGAAAAAGCTTCAACTAATGCAACAAATAGCACA